ACCTCTTCTGACTTCTGTACACCTTTTTTAATTTTTATTATTTCACGTAATTTTTGTTTCATAAAGATTTTACATGTGGGTATAAAATGAATTTTTTTTAAGAATTAAGTTTTTTTAGGAGGCTTAATTCTAAACTATGTGGAATATAAAACACATTCTACTAAGTAATTCCCTACATAAATGTTGTTATACTTCACTTCTTAAAGGTTTAAATTTAATCCACTGTTTTTAGAAAGTGTCATAAAGGCCATATTCCGTGGCTAGAAGAAAAATCAATGTCTTTTTTAAAGGATACCGTATTTGTTAAAAAGTAAATTCACTTTTTTGTCACGGCTTTGTCAATTTCATGCCAGTTTTGTTAAATTCTATCTGGTGAAGTAATTTTTAGTACCTATTGAGCTCCTCTGTGTAGAAATTTCAGTGGTTCCTGGCAATTCATTAGCCAGTATTTCAACAGGGTTATCCTTGAATTCATATTATCATTGAAAATCATGTTTATTCCAACACATCTGTTATATTAGTCAGCTTTTATTTCTCTTTTATGGGAATCTCAGAAACCATTTGACTGGGTTCAGGTTATCTGTGAATTTTCATATTATTTTATGGCCACCGGCTGCATTTTATGACTCTGTATTAAATCGTTTAGTTTTTCGAATAACTTTTTCAAATGGTCTCAATTTCTCATCCAGGGGAGATCAGGCATATGCCCCAAATCTACTGTTCAGCAAGTTACAGCTACTGCGAAACCCCAAATAAATGAAAAAGAAACAAAAATAAAACTCTCCCTTAAAAAAGAAAATCCTGTGTAAAATAGCAGAATACCAAAAACCTACGTACCTGACCTTTCACTCGGTCTGTTCTTGGTAGGACGTGCCTTCAGCTTTTAATTGGAACCTTTTTCATAATTGTTGCCATTTAACACATTTAGTCTGTCAAATCATGGGATGTCTTTATAGCCATATAATAAACCCTAGAGAACAACTTTTCTGACTGTAGCCATCTGCAATGATCACAGGAGTAGCTTACAAAATACTGACAGTCTTTCTGGTAATAGGATACATATGGCAGCCCACAATTATGTGTAGCCGCATTCAATTAGTGTGTTGCAGTTACACAGTTTTATTGCTTAGTTAAAACAGTGAAAGCACTACATACTGGGTAATTTGCACTAATCCCCATCTCTTTAATAGCCCCTCGGTGTTTAAAATGTGGGGGAACATCTATAGTATTTAAAGGGCCTGGATGAACATTAAATTATATCTCATGTTGTGAATACTCTTTGATTGACAATTAATGTACCCCCACCTCATGTGTGGGGCATGTTTTATGGACACTTTAAAATACAGTTACAGCAAGAAGTTCTTAAACCAGAACCCCACTTGCTGGGTCAGGCTGCCCAAACTTATACTTGCAGGCTGTTAAGGTTCTTTCTGAAAGAAGATCAGGATGAGGAGACAAGCTAAGTAAGTCGATTCCGAGAGTGGGAGACGCCATGGATGCCACGTTTTCAATGTGAACATGTTAGAAGCTTTTCCGACTCCTAACATTTAATTAAAAACTTAGTTCAAAGTGAATTTATAGCTGCCACTTGGTAAAATACTTTCTGGAGATGGTTTTATAAAGACTGTGTGTGTGCTCACACACACACACATTTGAAACACATGCATTTCACAATCTGTGATTTTTAACAAAAGTTTTGACTACGTTTTCAAAGGGCCTCATTCCTGCCCTGCTGTAAACGGCTGGGGGAGAGGTGAGGAGGGTACAGCTCAGCTGGCTGCAGGAGCTCTCGGGAGCCCAGTTGTGAGAGGCCCATTGTGATGGGCTGGCCAAAAAGTTCGTTCGGGTTTGCTGTTGCTCTTAACAGAAAAACACGATTTTTTTTTGCCAATCCAATAGTACTTAGGGAAGGCGCTCTCCCACGGGAGGAAGGGAAACAGGACAATATATTCTTCTATATCCTTCTCCCCAAGTGTTGACAGAGAAAAACCCAAAGCAACCTTGTTTCCTGCCCTGCCTGATGGTAAGTAAGTTAAACAGAATTCCAAACGAAAGGCCTGGACATAAGCATTTCAAATGTACTTGGGTCTAGAAATGTTTTCAATTACGTGGATTAGGCCTTTGTCTCTTAGCTCTTATTGCCTCTCCTAAACATCACTTTAATCTCTTTATATGTTCATGAAAATTCTGCTATATGGTTTTCAAAGTTAAAAAAAGAGAGAGAGCAACATAATAGTGATTAAAGAGAGATGAAAACATTAAAATGATAGATTCTATGTTTTTCATTTAAACGATGCTGGTTTACTTTTATTTTTATCATTAAATAATCTTCATTTTCTTTATTTTAGGTAAGTCTTTAGTGGTTTTTCTTAGTTGTTGAAGCTTTGAACTTTATTGCTTAGCTATATTAAGTATAATTGGCATATGGCTATATGTAAGATGGAATTCCTATTAAAATGTAGATGCTTAAAAAACCCTTTGGTACATGGAGGAGAATTACATGGTCATATTCAGAACTAAACTGTTACTTATGACTGAATCTGCCAACATCTGCCTTTGTCCAACTTTTGAATAGAGTTGGGTGATTATGGGTAGTATGTTTAGAAACAAGCAACAACATCTCTGTGTAAATGGAGTTGTGTAATTTGAAATCTGCACAACCTCACAAAACAGGCACCATGAATGTTTGGACCTAACAGAACATCAAAGCAAGAGGTTATTTTGCATTTCGAAGAGATTGTTGGTAACAAAATGGAATTAGGGAAGTAAACAGTTCTGCTCTGTCTGGGAATTAAACTAGATGATCTATCAGGTGTTTCCAGCTCAGATTTCTTTTCATGAAAAACATTTGCTTGTCATTTGGACGACCTGAATGGCTGACATGCTAAGACTACAATTTAGGGATTTCTTTTGCCTGAGAGCGTTTAAGTCAGGGAGGATATTATGTTTTGCATCTCTGATACCTCAGAGTCCGTGATTCAAACTTGCTGATGCCGACCAGGGCTGGACGGCTGCTTCATTAAAGTAGGGACGACGGTGTCCATCTCAGAGGACCACTGGGCAAAGCCACATCCTTGGGGAACATACAGCTGTCCTTGCCCTAACAGCCCAAGTGCAGGTGGCCCCCCAAGCCTCTGGATACCTGCCTAAGGGCAGCCCACGCTTGATTGTGGCTGAGCCCTCAGGGAGAGGACTCTGTGTTCCAAGTATGGAGAAAATGTGAACAAACATTTTCTGCCCAGAAAAGACAGTCTCTCCAGAGAGGAGGCTCTGGCTGCCTTTTTTTTCTGCCAAAACAGATCCAAATGATCATTGCTGATACTGCAGCTTAGCTGGCCAAACATCTGCACTTGATGCTGCAGTGAAATGAGAAGTGAATCTACTTTTTCCAAAGGAGGGGAGATGCGGTGTGTGAACAGTAGCCATGCTCCTGATGTGTGGAGATGCGCCTTGCTGTGCGCCAGGTTCAAACTGCTCTAGCAAGTACAGATGATCATAGAGCAATAACAGGGGCACATGCAGGCCTCGATGGGCTGGAAGAATTATTTTGATGTACCTGGAGAACTTCACCGTTTCCTTGAGGCATCTCCTGGCGACTGCCTTCACTGGGAATACTAGCCTTTTACTGTGGCTCTCTTTTCTGTATCTTATTGATTCCAGTGGAGAGCTCTGAATTAGAATTCTGAAAGCCCTTTGATACTTTCTTTAAAATAACAGATGTTGTTTGGGATACTGTTTAGAACAGATCCATTTTGTTTGATTGTGGGCTAGAATTAAAGCAGTGTAAATACTTGCCTGAGGTCACATGCATCCTTTTCTTGATTTGTTGGGTGAAAGATTAGAAAAAGACTATAATAAGGTGAAAGACTTATTACTGCCTTAATAAGGAAAACTGGACAGAATGCTTACTCTGCACCTGATAAATCTTTCCAAATTGCCACAGGTAAAATGAAATGTTAATGCCCCTTTCAATTATTAATAAAAAATATAAATAGATCTTGTTGGAAATATTGGGCACTGAAAATAAAATGTTTTAATAGATGTGTAGATTTTTTTGTTCCATTTACTAAAGAACTGCATCTTTAAAGTTTCTGATACATTAAAATGAAGACATAATTATTTTCATAAACTGAATATTTTGCACTAAACACAAAATCTATACTTTTTTTTTTAGCACAAAATCTATATTTCTGTATTTCATTGTGTTCTGCAGATCAATTTGAATTGCAGCAAACGTCAAAGACAGATAATCAAAAGAAAAAAAAAATCTCCTATAATCTTACCACTCAGAGACAGAGACACCAATATAGTGTCCTTCCAGACATTTTTCTTAGTACATGTTTTTTCTTTAATAGACATTATATGCAACCAGTCAGAAGTCTGTCCTCACTTCCCAAATCTAACTCATTTCAATAAATGTAAACTCACATCACCATTCTAACTGTCCTGTAGCCTCCCATTGTATGAACGTACTGTAATTTAATGAACTTTCATTTCCTGGGTGTTTGCCATGTTCTTAATTTTGCAGTAATATAAAGATGTTCTTGTATGTATACCCCTGCATAGTTGCCTGAGTTTTTATTTTATGAAAAATAAATTTTAAAAATTGATAAACTGAAATCAGAGTTATTAACAGTCAGCGGACCAGAAGGGGGCACTCTCATGTCCTGTGACCATAACTGAGCCCAACAGGAAGAAGAGAGACTCCTCTTCTTTCCTGGCAGGGACTCAGCCAATGAAAAGTCATGGACTCTTTGTTTCTATAGTCCTCCCACTTCCTGTTCCTCTCTGTAAATGTATTTCCTTCCCTTGCCATGTGGGGACTTGGAGGTAACTTGCCGTGGGTACAGACTTCAAATTGCAATTCTCTGCGGATCCTGAATAAATCCATGTTTGCTCGAGAAATATCTGGCAGTCTGTTTGTTTTAGGTCAACATATATTTACACCACAATGTCCTTATTTTTTTTTAAGGCAGTTTCACTTTTAATTTTTATTTTAGGTGTATGAACACCAAGATGGCAGCAAATCGCTGAAGCTGGGTGACTTTGGACTAGCTACCATTGTAGATGGCCCCCTGTACACCGTCTGTGGTACCCCAACATACGTAGCTCCCGAAATCATTGCAGAGACTGGGTAAATGCTTTTCATGTGTTTATTTCAATGATGTGCTTGCAACATAGTCTGCTTTGAGAATAAATGAAATAGTTCTCTGTTCCATCCAGACAGAACTAGCTGTTAGCTATTTTTCACTTTTTTTTTTTAAGCTTGAAAAGTTGAAGCCATTTTTTCTGTTTCCCCAATCAAGTTGCCAATTACTGCAGTCTTGCATAAGCCTTCCTTTTGGCCTTTGTTAAAGGTAGAACAGCCATTATTAACCCCTTAGTAAAAAATATTCAAATTAACAGAGAAACATAGAGTGATGGTAATTAACTAGCTTTGGGAGATAAGAGCAGCAGACGTTGCTGTGTGGGGTGAGTTACTTCTGTGGTTCCTGTGGTTCCTTCTCCTAAGTTCTCCTTATTCTCCAGCTCCAGTCCCACTTTGGTCCACTTAGCAGCTCATGACCATCTGTGCAGCGCAGACACCCCCAGGCGTCAGAGGGCCGCTAGGAGTTGGCTTGTTTCTGAGCACAGCCAACACAGATGAAAGAAAATCTCTAGAATCAGGGGAGATGGTAGGGTGGCCTAAGCTTACTAACGACCTAGTACCATATGCCAGGTGCTAAACTCCTTTATTTAATTCTTACTCTTCCGGTAGATGATATAATCCCCATTTTGCATGTAGAGAAACTCAGTCTCTGATGACTGATACAAGCTCATGACAGTAGCTGAGTCAGCATTTGAACTCCAGGTCTAGGTGGGCAAATGGCTCTTTCAGTAAGCCCCATTTCTTGCCAAGGATTACTGGCAGGGTTCTGAACGCTGTCCTTAAACAGAAGGATGGGGGAAGGGTGGGAGGGAAAGAAGAGACAGCCCTGCCGTTTCTTCCTGTGAGTGGCGCCAACCCCCACCTAGCACTCTAGGTAGTATCTTCCCCTGTGACGGCTGGAGGTGGTTTTTCTCCTTGTACTATGGATGCATAGACTGGAAAGGCAGAAATACAGAACAGATGAGAAGAGAAATCCCCAACGCAGGGTAATGAGGACTTTCTTATTCATCAGATTTGATTGGGAGCCACATCTGTGGCCACAGCTGACCTCCTCCGAGGTACCACCTCAGGCGATGCTCCAGTAGGTGCTCTGATGGCCCGCTGGGGAGGAGTGGTGTGGGGCAGAAGAATTTGGTTGGGTCCTGAAGACGTCTGTTGGAGCTCAGCTGTGCCACTGATTGTGTGATCTTGAGCCAAATTATTTACCACTCTGAACTTAGGTTTTCTTTCTTATAAAATAGGCAATAATACTTGTCCTGTACAAGTTACAGAGTTGTTGGGAAAACAAAATCAGATAATGTATGCCAGTGCTTTATAGATTAGAGAATGTCTTATGTGTAATTATTATTTCTAAAATTTGGGAGCTAAATTGTCTCCTCAAGGGTCTTTGTCTTAAATCTGATATAACTAGACATAGAGAATGGATTTACAGACCCAAGGGGAGAAGGGGAGGGGGGGATGAAATGGGAGATTCGAATTGACATATTAATGTATACACTCTGTGTAAAACAGGTAATTTACACCATGTGTAAAACAGGTAGCTAGTGGGGAACTGCTGTATAGCGCAGGGAGCTCAGATCAGTGCTCTGCGATGACCTAGATGTGGGATGGAGGCAAGGTGCGAGAGAGGTCCAAGAGAGGGAATATATGTATACACACAACGAACTCACTTCATTGTATAGCAGAAACTAAGGCAACATTGTAAAGCAATTATACTCTTCATAAAAAATAATTAAAGAAAACAAACTTGATATGACTATAATAAGCATTGTTACTGAAACTGTTCACTTAATGATATTTAGATATGACCCTAGTGTTACTTTGATTTTTAATCATGTGCCTTAAATTGTCTTTTTTTTAATTATTACTCTTTTCTTGAATTTTGTTTAGCCAGTGTGTTGTAGTTTAGTATTAGTTGTGGATTTTCTTTTAATTTTTGCTTGGTTTGGTGTTTGGTTTATGATAGCAGAATCATCCATCTGACCATGCTCCGTAATTTGTCCTGGCCTGACTTTGCTAATGGCGATGTCACTTACCTTTTCAGATATGGCCTCAAAGTGGACATCTGGGCGGCTGGTGTCATTACTTACATCCTGCTGTGTGGTTTCCCTCCATTCCGTGGGTATGGGCAGTGATCCTTAATTCAGCACTCACAAAGCATTTGTCCATTCCCTGAATGATCCATTCAGCCTCCGTGCATAAAGGAGCCTGTAGCAGGAAAAGAACAGAATGCTGTGTTAAAGAACATAACTTTACTACCTTTTGCTTAATAAGGACTTGTTATTTTTTCCATGTTGTGCATGCTAGTTTACATGCCTTCCATAAATCTTTCTCACATAATCTGAAAACTCATTCTTTCCTAATTTGCCAAAACAGTTCCATACTGACATTTTGAATTGCTTAAAAACACACATTTTACACATTATGGGGGAAGGAAGGCCTCCAATGCACAAGGATGAAAAGACATACCGTGAGTTGGCATTTTCCTGTGTTTATTCCTTGTTATTGTCTTGTGTCTAAACAGAAGCGGTGACGACCAGGAGGTACTTTTTGATCAGATTTTGATGGGGCAAGTGGACTTCCCTTCTCCATACTGGGATAACGTTTCCGATTCTGCAAAGGTGGGTTTCGGCTTCCAGTGCCTTCCACTTCTTATAGCCTGTGTCTCTGTGGAGTTATTGATTCTGAATCATCCTGTGCAAAGAAACAAATGATATGGTAAATATGCTTTCTGTATACATTTTAGTCGTAATTACTAGCCTTCCCAGGCGTTCACAGTCTTCAAGTCACCCGCCTCGTCTGGTGCCTCTGCTTCCCTGGCTCGTCGCTCACTGTGGTCGCTGCAGTTACGCTGCTGTAGCCTTTAGCTATGCTCCGCCCGCACCAGGCTTGGGCCCAGCTCAGATTTCCATATAGGTTATTGTTTCACCTCTTTCAAATCTTGGCTTGATGTCATCTTCTCAGTGAAGCTTTCCCAGAACATCTTATTTCCATTTGCAGCTCTGAACCCCTACCTGGCTGACGTTATTGTCGTTTGCTTCATATTCCTCTGTAACACTTACACTGTTACATCCATCTGGTCTACCATCTAACTACCTGTCTGTCTGTCTGCCTACCTAGATATCTACCCACTCCAGTATTCTTGGGCTTCCCCTGTGGCTCAGCTGGTAGAGAATCCACCTGTAATGCAGGAGACCTGGGTTCGATCCCTGGGTTGGGAAGATTCCCCCGGAGAATGGAAAGGCTACTCATTCCAGTATTCTGGCCTGGAGAATTCCATGGACTGTATAGTCCATGGGGTCGCAAGGAGTCAGAAACAGCTGAGTGACTTTCACTTTCACTACCTAGTTATAGAATTGTGGGTATATCCCATTTATGGAGTTCATATTCTAACTCTCCTCACTGGACTATAAATTCCATCAAGACAAGGATTTTTGTCTATTGTATTCATTACTATACCTCAGTGCCTAAATAGTGACATAACTGATACTCAACGTATACTGAATGAATGGATAAAAGAATGAGTGAATTAAATGATCTGTCAGGCAGTCAAAGTGAAGATGCTCAAAATGAGTTAAAATGACCAAGAAAGACACGGTGGGGAAGCTATGGTGTAACTTGGACCTTGGAAGACAGCCAGGATTTAGAGGCAGCGCGGAACAAAGCATATTGTTTTTGTCATTAAAAGAGCAACCTCTAAGAAAACTATGAAAATCTTACACAGAGACATTAGTAGACCCTGAGGTTAAAAAAAGAAAACCTGTGCTCGCTTCGGCAGCACATATACTAAAATTGGAACGATACAGAGAAGATTAGCATGGCCCCTGTGCAAGGATGACACGCAAATTCATGAAACGTTCCATATTTTTATTCATGTCAATGTATGGCAAAAACCACTACAATATTGTAAAGTAATTAGCCTCCAACTAATAAAAATAAATGAAAAAAAAAGAAAAGAAAAGAAAGAAAACTTTTTAGTTGACTCCTTAAGTTTATGTTTCCAAGCATTGACTTAAATTTTTGCAAAACTGATGTTGGCAACTAATTATCTTTTGATTATTCAGTGTACCTGTTTTTCTTCTTTGACTGTATCCTGAGTATAAGTTCAATTTTAAATCTGACTCTTTAGGCCTGACCACTTTTCATAGAAAATGGTGCACACCGGGCCCAAATCTCTCATTTTCTTCAACTATCCAGGAATCTACCTCTGGACATAGGAAAATGTGTGGAGTTGAGAGAAGTGTCCAAGAAGAACCACAGAGGTGAAAGGAGACGGGGTGATAACGGCTGCAGAGGTGGGGGTGGAGAAGTTTTCACCTGTGAGCAGGTTCTTCAGGAACGTGCCCAAGGCCCAGTGCTGGCCCTCCATACCTGGAGGGCAGAGGGCATCTCCTGCAACCCCTCAGCACCCTGCAAGGAGCATCACACACACAGTCGTCGCGTTAGTTAAGTCCTGGCCCAAGTTAGTACAGGTCAAATCTGTACATCTTTGGGAATAAATGATTCCCGCTGTGGAGCGGTACTTAGAGCCTGTGCAGGTGAGGGACCAGGTAATACGTTATCTAGCCATTTTGTTACATGGGAATTTCTAATCCAGAGGAGACAAACGTCTGACAGACTTCATCAGTAAACCCCAAGCTGTGCTCTTCTGGGGCAAATAAATTTGAGCCCATAGCAGAGATGCATTCATTTCAGAACCATTTAATAATTTGTTTCTTAATGGTTCTATTTTACTTTTATTGATTGTTCTGGAAATTTGTGAATCATTTTTAACATATTTCCTCTGAATTCTTTGGCTGCTAAAGAACAGTTTCTATTTTACCAACTAGCTGTTGGCAATTCCATATGTCTTTCCTCATTCCTTTCTTTCAAACCCAAATATGCTCTTGCAGTTAGGAGGGAAAAAAAATCCATTTTTTCTTTCAGCTGGCAAAGTGAAAATTTTGTTAAGGGGTTTTAAAAATGTGATTTCTATGTTAAAGTAATTTAGGACTCTGTCTTTAAAGTGCAAAATGCTAGACAAAGAAAGGAATATTAATTCTTTCACCTGTGTACTTTATTTCCTTCTACTAAAAGCATTTTTATGAAATTGATTTTAAATCTTTCACTTTATGTTTTTCCCTCAACTACAAGGTGTATATTTTTAATTCCAAATATTCACCTTTCCTTTAAAAGGTAAGTTGAGTTGATGTATTTAAGGTTAGAGCTTTTACAAATGCTTTTCCAAGATAAAAGAGAACCTCTGCATTTGAAAACGCCAGTTTTTACTTTCAGTGTTAGACACAAACAACATCAGATGTTTCTATTGACAGGAGCTCATCACTATGATGCTGTTGGTGGATGTCGATCAGCGGTTTTCGGCCGTGCAGGTCCTTGAACATCCCTGGGTTAATGTAAGTAACTCCCTCCCTTCCCTGAATTTACTCCTAAAGCTCCCTTTCTCAAATCACAACTTTCCTAATGATGTTGCCTCCTGTTTCAAGTGTGTTTGTGTCTGTTCCTCCCCCTCAAACATGCCAGAACAGTTCCAGGATCTCAGCCTTGTTCCACGAGGGCCTCTGATGTATCTGTGCTGACATGTATTCTCACGGTCCCTTGCACAAAGCATTTCATTTGATTCAGATGGGACTGCCTTCCATGGGGGTTGGGGGTGGGATTGCACTTGGTGGCCACCCCCCACCCTGCAACCTACATTGTCTGATCCAGATTAGGACTAAATCCATCAATAAGACAGAGCAGATTTTCTGAGTCAGTGCTGCTTTTGCACCATTTTCTAACCAAAAATACCAGTGACCCAAGGGTCTCTGCCCGAGCCCTGGAGTTCTCCAGTGCAGCACTTCTCAAACATGCCTGTGCTCACAAGTTACCTGGGGGTCTTATTAAAATGCAGATGGTAATGTCGGAGATGTGACGCTCTAGATTTCTAAAAGCTCCCAGATGCTGCTGCTGCTATTTGAGTACAAGGATCTGATGATGTTTCTTTAGCTGCGAAAGAAGTCTCCAGAGCAGAGTCATTATTTTTTGATCCTCTCTCTCTTTCTAACTTATTGATATGGTTTGTTTTGAATTATCATAATAATAAATACTAACAGAGTGTTTGGCTTATAGTGTCTGCCTAGGACTATTTTAAGCATCTCACAAAGATTAATTTATAACCCCTTGTGCATGCTCAATCAGTCATGTCCGACTCTTTTCAACCCTGGACTAGAGCCCACCAGGCTCCTCTGCCCATGGAATTTTCCAGGCAAGAATACTGGAGTGGGGTACCATTTCCTATTCCAGTGGATCTTCCCAACCCAGGGATCGAACCTGCACCTCTTAATACCTCCTGAATTGGCAGGCAGATTCTTCACCACTAGCACCATCTAACCCAGGGGCTGTTACAGCCCTTACTGACATGTGTGGAAGTCCATTCTTGGGTCTAACGATTTTTGCAGTCAGAACAGCAGAAGACGTAGATTTGGATACAGATGCAGACACAGGCAAGCATGACATCATCAGTTCTCGTTGACATGAACTTCGCCAGCACTTTGAGGGGTCTGGCTGTAAAATGAAGGCAACAAAATGTTCCATTTCTCTGGATTACCACTTTGGCGATTGGTCGGGTGTGTTTTCCCAAGGTAACTTAATGACTGAGGATGAGGTTATGATTGAAAGCGCAGTGTTGAGACAGATTCTACCTGAGGTGACAGGAGCCTGGGAGCTTGTTCATTTTTGCCTCTTGATGGCCATGGGCCTAGGTTCAGCACTTGACACATCTGAACCTGGTTCCTCCCACCCCACAGGGAGGGGTTTTTTTTTGGTTTTTGGCTGAGCTGACCTGAGCTTTCCTTGCTTCACATGAGCTTTCTCTAGTTGCAGAAAGTGGAGGCTATGCTCTCTAGTGGATGGTGCACAGGCTTCTCATTGCAGTGGCTTCTCTTGTGGTGCACGGGCTTAGCTGCCTGGCAGCATGTGGAATCGTCCTGGACCAGGGATCAAACCCGTGTCCCCTGCATCAGCAGGTGGATTCTTAACCACACCACCAGGGAAGTCCTGGGAGGACTTCCGGAGAATGTATAGGAATGTGAGCATATGGGTATACGGCTAAGGTTTGTTAACTGTTTGGACACAGCAGAGCCCCCCAACTGGCGTACAGATGTGTAAAGATGCATCCTTGCAGCCACTGGGGAGGGGACAGTCAGGCAGACTCCAGGAGCTGTCATCTCCAGCTTTACAACCTTAGCATTTACCCCCACGGTGCTGAGCAAAAAGTTCTCCTTTTCTTTGAAGCTGGAAAGCTTAGGAAGCATCTCTTACAAATCTAATAAGGAGCCTACAGGATAGGCAGGGTAGGTATTATTATGCCCATTTTACAAATGAAAAGACAGAGGCTATGAAGGATGACCTTTCCAAAGTAGCTGGGCTTGTGACTGAAACACGATTCGCAACCAGGCACCCTGACTCCAAGTCCTGCTCCACACTGCGTCTGCCCCTCTCTCTCATACACAAGAAAGCACTGCGAATGCTGCACAAGAGTGCGTGCTGTGACAGTTGGTCACGCAAGGTCGCAGTCTTTCCAGAGTGGGTCACGGTGCCTCTCCCTAGCCGTCCAGGGTGGGAGAGGCACAGGCCTGCTGCAGGCTCCCCTGGTGGCAGCAGTTGTTTGGGACTGATCTGTGTGCTAATTAAAAGCCCACGGTCCTCAAACTGTCACCCTGCATGTTAGCACTGGAAACATTCAGAGTGTGACCACACAGAATACAGTGGAAAATCTGAATTTGAAACACCGCCTTGGAAGGCTCACAGAGAGCCATGGAGGAAAGAGGTTCATAGGTTACAAACAGCCATTTTAGATCCAAAATACATTTTCATCAGAGGACCACCGCCTGCCGGGCCTGCCCTCCAGGAGCTCAATCTGATAAAGCTTGGCAGTGGGAGAAGGGCCACCCTCGCCGGGCTCTGTGGGGAGGTTGGATGGAAGGCTTCCCGGAGGACAAGGAGTCAGACCTTCTTCCTGGAGGAGGCTGGGAAGAGAAGTCAGGCAGCGCCAGCTGAGGCAGAATACGGATGTTTGCTCTAAGAGAACTTTGTGAATGGGAGCAAATTTGTCTTTGTGAGTGGGAGGCACATGTGAGGTGCCTGGGTTGATACTGGAAACAAAATAATCCCTCACCCTGATTGCAAAGCAAATGACCCTACATCAATATATTCCAACTCAGTCGGGTAGAGAAATGAAATTAGGACTTGGTAAAGAATCTGCCTGCCAGTGCGGGGGACACAGGTTCCATCCCTGATCCAGGAGGATCCCACATGCCTTGGAGCAACAAAGCCCGTGTACCACAATTACTGGGGCTGTGCTCCGGAGCGCGGGAGCTGCAACTCCTGCAGCCCACGCGCCCTAGAGCCCGCGCTCCGCGACAAGAGGGGCCGCTGTGATGAGAAGCCCACACACAACTAGAGAGTAGCCCCCGCTTGCCGCAAGTAAAGAAAAGCCCGGGTGGCAATGAATAATAATGAAAAACAAACATACAAATAAATTATTTAAAATAAAAGGAAGGATAACATTTAAGGCATTATCTGGGAGATTTAAAAATTTTAAATACCTTTTAATATAATTCTAACATTTTAAATTCTAACAGAAAATAGCAATTTTAGCAAAAAAAAAATGTGTAAAGGGACTGCTTAAGTTTTGAAATTATGTAGTAACTAGTCAAAAAACTGATTATTTTCTTTGTCTCAAAATAACAGATGAAAAAATATGTATCCAAGTGTTCACAGCCAGCCTTTAGTGTTTGTTGGGGCCTCTTGAGTACGATAAATGAACAGTACCGATCAAAATAAATAAATTAGGAATGTAAAAGGAAGCCCAGTGAGCAAGACATTTTGCATTTGGCGATGGAATTGTATCTGATCACTGCAGCAGAGACCACCTAAGCCAGGGGCAGGGAGGGGCGGAGAATGTAGTAATAATCGTGAGGAAGGAAGCCCTGAGGAAGTCGTCAGAAAGCTCTTCCCACACCCCCATTTGTCCTAATTTTCTCTATTGCTTTCTGATGCCCTTTTCACCTAGCACACTTGGAACTGGAAAGGCAGTCTCTTATGAAACGGAGAGCATGAGGGCAAGAGAACTGAAAGAAAATCTAGTCACCAGGAGTCACTTGTTTTAACGCTGCTCAAGGTGCTTCCCCTAGGCGCCCGTTATCCTTTATACTCTCTGGGTGCTCCTTGGTGTCTGGACCTCTGCTCCGCTGTCGGAGAGTCGTGAACGAGGCCTCTCAGCGGATGGTTCCCAGGAGCCAGAGGGATGAAGGCAGCATCAGTGTGCAGCCAGGAGTCTGGGAGAGGGCTGCAGACCCCTGGAAAGAGCGCTGGCTGACCGTTCATTACCGTCCCCATAGCTCAGTTGGTAAGGAATCTGCCTGCAATGCAGGAGACCCTGGTTCAATTCCTGGGTCAGGAAGATCCTCTGGAGAAGGGATAGGCTACCCACTCCAGGATTCTTGGGTTTCCCTTTTGGCTCAGCTGGGAAAGAATCAGCCTGCAATGTGGGAGACCTGGGTTCAATCCCTGGGTTGGGAAGATCCCCTGGAGAAGGGAAAGGCTACCCACTTAAGTATTCTGGCCTGGAGAATTCCATGGACTATATAGTCCATGGGATTGCAAAGAGTCAGACATGACTGAGCAACTTTCACTTTCACTTTTTTTCACCATATATGAAGAGCCTGAGCAGACAGTCTTAGGTGCTTGTACTCTGTAGGTACTTGGTAAATGTTTGGAGACTCTGAGTGAGAAGCAGGCAGTGACTCCATCATCTGTGGCTATGTACTGATGAAGTGCAAACTGTGCTCAACACCGGCGTATGAGAAACTGGATTAAGGACGAAACCCTTCATCCAAAACAACCATCCTGTCTGTGTGCTCTGAACTCCACATGGATCCTGTGATTATCAGCATGTTGTGTTCTCCAGTGTCACAGCCTTCTCTTAACGTAGCTGCAGAATATCACCACTTACTGCCCTGGCGAAGAGTATTTACCTTATTCCTCATCTAGTGGGCAACCATACGACTTAGGCACATATGAGAGTGGAATAGCCAATAGTATATCTGGACCATTCCAGGGACTAGGAATAAGGTTGAGTCACTTTTTCTCTAAATGACAGTTTGTTGGTAGAAAAATGCAGGTTAGTGATTAAGTTCATAAGCTTAAATGACAGTTCCAAAGTGCTTTCTTGTTTGTAATTACGATTAAATTATCAGCATTATATTTCAAATAGATTGTTGTTACTAGATCTTAAAAAAAAATCTTTATTGAATTTGTTAGAGTATTTCCCCTGTATTTTATGGCCAGGAGGCATGTGAGATCTTAGCTCTCTAACCAGGGATCAAACCCACACCCCCTGCATTTGAAAGAG